CCAAAAAGTGTGCTTTCTTGTTAAAAGACACACCCACATAAATATGGTTATGTCATACTAGACAAAGGTGCCAAAAACATTCACTGGAGAAAAGGTAGTCTGTTCAATAAATAGTGCTGGAAAAACTGGAGATCCATATGTAGCAAAATGAAATTAAACCTCTATCTCTCACCCTGCACAAAAATCAACTCCAACTGGATCAAAGATTTTAAGCACTAGAACAGAGATCCTGTGCCTACTAGGAGAAAAAATAGGCCCAAATCTTCACCATTTCAGCCTAGGATTTGACTTCCTTAACAAGACTTCTAAAGCTCAAGAAGCAAAATCAAGAATTAATAAATTGGATGGAATCAAATTTAAAAGCTTTTTCTCAGCCAAGAAAACAATAAAGTGAGGAGACAGCCTACAGATTGAAAGAAAATCTCTACCACCTTTGCATTCTGCTACCTTTCCTATCCTCTACTATCCCCCTCCCCCGCCCCATCAACAGTTACTAGTATGGCATTATGTAAAAAGGTGAATGTGTAACCGATGTGATTCTGCAATCTGTATTTGGGGTAAAAATGGGAGTTCATAACTCACTTGAAACTAATGTTTGAAATATGATATGTCAAGAGCTTTGTAAGGTTTTGAACAACCAATAAAAAAAAAAGAAAATCTCTTCCACCTCCACCTCCAATAAAGCATTAATCTCTAGGATATATAAAGAACTCAAAAAATTCAAGACCAAATAAACAAATAATCCCATCAACAAATGGGCTAAGGAACTAAACAGATACTTCACAGAAGAAGAAATAAAACTGATCAACAAATATATGAAAAAGTGTTCAACATCTCTAGCAATTAGAGAAATGCAAATCAAAACTACTCTAAGATTTCATCTCACTCCTGTCAGAATGGCAAGAATACATCAAGTTGTTGAAATTGATGTTTTTGCAGGGAGATTATCAGGAAAGGGTACCATTCCAACATTTCCTTCTCTCCCTCATCAAAACTATCATCTTAAAAAAGACTCCTTGCATTTAAAAATCACCTGATACAGTCAATATTTGGTTTCTTATTCATCTGTTATATATCTCTACATCACTAGAATATATACCCCACAAGACTAGGCACTTTTTCTTACTCATTTATATAATTCTAGTGCCAGAATGATCAGCATATAGTTGGTCTTCTAATATATTAAAGGAAGGAAGGAAAGAAAAAAAGGAAGGGTTAAACATGTGAATATCAGATTATGGAGGACTTTCTATAACAGGTGGATTTTGTTCTCTTTACATTAGGGGGAGTTATTGGAAGATTTCAAATAGATGACTTATAATTAAATTCAGAAACTAAAAGAATGGCTTTGAAAAGACAAACCAGGAAGCCAAAAAACCTATAGATTTATACGATGTGAGATGTAAAGGACATCATAGAGAAGAAAGTGGAAGAAGACACTTAAGAAGTATTCACAAAATATACATGCTATCATATTGAAGAGTAATCAAGATAGTTCCTATATTTTTAGTGATGGCAACCTTTGAGATGGCAATCTCACAAAGAGGAGCAACATTATTATGGTGAAGTTTATGGTGAAGACAGCCACAAAGAGAATACAGGCAAGATATAGAGTATAAGTAATTTTCCTGTAGTTAGTAACTGGAAGTGAAAAAAATAAATAATATTATGCTTGAAGACTGCATGGTTAGAAGGAGGATAAAAGGATAGAAAACAGAGTTTGATAGGAATAATTACTGCCCATGTTTGTTGTTCTCATGAAAACATTTTTTCTTCTTCTGCATTATTTTAACAATTTAAGTCTTTGAAATTTTTTCTTGTGGCAACCATAAACCCTTCAAAGCAGTCAGAGAACATGAAAAAAATTGCATTAGAATGCTCATGTTTCTGTGCATGGGGAGAGATAGGGATTTAATTTCATTTTGTTACATATGAATTTCCAGTTTTCCCAGTACCATTTGTTGAAGAGGCTATTTTTTCTTCAATGTTTGTTTTTGGTTCCTTTGTCTAATATAAGATGACGGTAATTATGTGAATTAGTCTCTGTGCTCTCTATTCTGTACTATTGGTCTACCAGTCTATTTTGGTGCCAATATCACGCTATTTTTGTTACTGTTGTTCTGTAGTATAGTTTAAGGTCTGGTACCCTAAGTACATGTATAAAGACATGAATGGTGTGAATATACTTTATATACAACCAGAGATATGAAAAATTGTGCTCTATATGTGTAATATGAGCTGTAATGCATTCTGCTGTCATATATAACTAAAATGAAAAGATGTGTAAAATAATAGAGAATTGCTCATGTTTCTTATGTGTAATAGAATTTACTTACAACTTCCTATTCTTTCTATTCTTTTTAAAGCAAAATTTTCATGTTTTTCCAGAAATTTTCTTCATATTGGATAGCTACTAGCTTTAAATTTGCATTATATCATACATGTTATCAAAGTATTTCCTATTAAATAAATATTTACACTAAACCACATTTTTATTGACAAGCAATATGAAATGCAATAGATATGATGAAAACACTGAAATGTTTGAAAAAAATAAAGCAAAGGATCGCATTGGCCTGACAATTCTACCTAACACAAAAGCCATAATAAAAAATATTAATTTTAAATTAAAAAAAATTAGAAAGCATGGGTGTATGTACACTATACATGCACAGTTAACAATCTCTTAACAACCTTTTATCTTGAATATCATGCTTTCAAGTCCTTTTAACCCTTTTAAATTCATGTTTAAAAAAGAATACTTGTTTGGGAAAAAGCAAGATACTGAATATTTAATTAATTTGTTGAAGTATAAAAAATACTTAATTGATTGTATTCAATACAATAGGGATTGAATGCTGGATATCTTTCACTGACTAGTGATTTTTTTAAAAAGTGGTTGTGATACTAAGTCACCAGGGATAAAAGAATCTATTTGGATGCAAAGGAGATGGAAAGATAAAACCTGACATCACCTCTTTAAGCAATCAATTTCAAATACAAATCTAATTTAATATTTTTTAGCCACTTGGAAGATACAAGAGAATGAAAGGCATCTGGAAGTAGGAAAATAAATTAACAGGAAAGTTTAATAGTTTTAATTCTGGCTAACTTCATATCAGTTCTTGTAATCCATAGCAATGACACAGAATGCTTCTACCATGGGACAATGCACATGAAACTGATTAAGCATTTCATATTGTCTTTATACTGGGAAGAATCAAAATCAAAAGAAAGAAAATAAAATTTTAAAATAACAACAACAAAATACACGTTTGGTTACTAATACTGGGCAGTCTAAAAATATACAGCAAATATAGACAACACAGTTTTAGTGCCAATTTGTACAATTTAGTAATGTCTATATGTATTTGAGTGAAAAATAAAATAGAGATATTTAAAACCATAATCATCTACTAAAATTGGCAATACATAATAATCCACAAACATGCCTTTTTTAAGCTTTTTGCAAAAATATAATTAAGGGKCAAAGAGATATTAACTAATCTACCAAGTTACACAACAATTAAGCTTACATTTTTTAAATTCACTCACATACTTCCTATTGTGTATGAGATGTGGAAAAAACTCACAATGATTATACATAGATTGTTAATATATTTTCCCCAGTTAATAAACTGTATTAAAATGACATTTTAAAAGTTGGTGTATATCCTTCACCAAAATAATTTATTATTTTATTTCCTAGAAAAATTCATAAAATATATGCAGTCTCTTAAAGTTGACAGAAAAAAAATCCACACAGAAAAATATTTTTTACTTGACAATTAGGTTATATGCTTTATAGCCTCTTTAAAATGTTTTCCTTGTATGTGATACTTTGTTTGATAGCTAGTTTTATATTAACAGCAGCTTAAATATCAATATTTATATCAATAAATATGCCAAAATATTGTATAAATAAAACAAAACATCAATAATTTCTTATTATGTTCGGTTAACTGATATTGAAATTTGTACGTTTACTACCACATATTTATGAATATCAGAAAACATAAGAAACATCACAAACTTTAGTCATAATGTAATTAAAGTTATTTTATGATAAGTAAACAGGATAAGTTATTGTCTATCAAATAATTTTGTAGCCACAAAAATGTAAAAATGCTAAGTTCATAAATAGATATTCTAAATGGTCACATAACACACTTTGAAAAAATAACATAAAAAATAATTATATATTTAAGGAATATCCACTCCTTACTCCTTACTAATAATGCATTTTATTTCTTTATGATAATAAATGTAATACATATCCAAGATTCCATTTACTTTAAACAAGAACAATAAAAACAAAAAACCCTCCATTTTTATAGCTTGACTAAAACACCGGAAAGTCACTCATACAAAGTGAACATCTTCCATTTCTATGTATGAATCCATCTGGAATTAAAATGATTATGTGAGTGAATCCTACCTTACAATAGTAATACTAGTAATATTTAATATTACAAAGCTATTACTGGTCTAGACCCTACAAATATGTACATTTAAATAGAACATTTCTAGGAGATTCTGACAAAAATTATAATCGAATGCAAGACTATGGAAATTTTACATTGAAAATATGTGAGTAGAACATGTTTATCTAGACAAAAAAATTAATGGTCCAATATGCTATGGAGCCAGGTTTCCCTCATTTCTAATATCTATGATTTTCAGATATACTTCCATTAAAGAAAAGATTTTCAGGGATAGAACAATAATTTTTCTATCATTTGTTCCTATAATAAAAAAATGTTTTCAAGAAATTTGTCTCAAACCCACAGAACTAGACAGAGAAATTCTTAAATATTGCTGAAAGCCAACTGCAAATTTTAAAGTAAAGAAAATAATCAAATTTTGAGCATTTGGAATAAGAACATTTACAATGCCATCTGTGAGCTCAAGTTTCCACATGACTATGCACCAACAATATTCATAATTGTTTTACTGTATCATTTTTGACATTACAAACATGAAATAAATGTAGTCATTACCTTAAACCACCAACATATTCTTGTTTTTCAAATATAGTGATGTCTGAGTAGCCTAATCTAGCCAGAAAAGAAGCACAACTTATACTGGCAGGACCAGCACCAAAAAGAGCAATTTTTGCAGAATAGGCTTCAGACATTTTTTCTGGGGGTAGCAGAGAAGGATTTCTGATCTGTGGGATATTCATCGCTTTGAACACCTGTGGAGAAATCAATTGCCATGATTAAAATTTGAAATTAAATTTTATATTCTCAAACACCTTTTTAATGCTTTGTCTCTATTAATGTTTTAATTAGCAATGAACATTACCTTTTAGCATTAAAATGATGCATAAATTGTATTATATGAAGTAGATGAGAATTTATGGCCCAACTCTCAATCTTTGAAATTTCTTTCTAGAATTTTTCCTCTAGAAAGAATTTCTGATTCACCTTCCTTCCTCCTACCTCTAGGCCAAGTTAAGATGCTCATCCTCTGAGCTCATCCTCAGTACATTTTTTATGCCTCCAAAATAAATACTTAACAACCTATGTGTGCATGTGGTAAGATTCTGCGTCAGTAGTAGAATGCCAGTTCCTTAAGAAGAAAATTTATATAAGCACATTACCAACACACTATCAGCAGTTACTACCAACCTGGCACACGGCAGATACTGAAAAAATAATCTCATAACATCTATTTCTGGTTAGAATAGATTAGTTATTGAATAATAATGTTTTAGAAATCCGAGTAAAGCGGTAGAGAGCCACTGAAGTAAGGTAGACTTGGAGCTGCCAAGATCTCAGAGAGAAGTAAGAGCAGAGAAGTTGGATGGCAGTCTTGGAGTCACTTTCCAATTAAAGGCATTTGCCACTTCTTGGCAGGAAGAGGAAAATCAAGAATTTTGAAGAGGTTCACAACTCAAACCAGCAAGATAGATTTTGGCAATGTTCCAGAACTGGAAAGAGACAATGTTTGGGAATATAGGATGCCAATAACCAGAGCAGCTCAAAGTGCAGAAAAATGACCTTAAGCTACGTCAGACAAAAAGTAAAAGATCTCAACAGAGGGATTCTGTAAAGCTGGGGGGACTTTTTGCACTCTGATGATCCAGAAAAAAAAAAAAAAATCTGAACTGCAGCATGACTAAAGGAAAAAAAAAAAAAAAACCTAGCAAACACTACACAGCTGGAACTTCCAAAGTYTCACACTGTAAGTGGGGCAAACCAGAAAGAGACAATCAACTCAGTTTTGAGTCAGCTCACCCCCAGATATGAATGAAGATGATTAGTCCTCACTGTATCTATCTTATCTATCCACTAAATAACAGTGTGGACCCACTGTGGAGAATAAGTAAGTCAACYTAGCATCTAAAATATTGCAACTTATAATGTCTGGATTTAGATCAAAATGTCCAGGCACAGCAAAGAAGAAGAAAGCTAAGAAAACAGAAATAGATGAATATTTGAACTAGTAAGTGTGTTCTCTAATACAGGCCTAAGAATAATTATGATCAATATGTTCGGAATATAAAACAAGAATATAAGCTTCCACTAAATGGGAATTTTTAAAAAAATATTTAAAAATAGAAGAGAAAATGTGCAAAAATTGTATTAAAATTTTATGTATTAGTAGCAAATTTGACAAAGAGCAAGAAAGATGAGAAACTGGAAAGTAGGGCAATAAAAACAATCTAGGCCAAAGTATAGAAAGAAAAGATAAAAGAAAACACAGAAAAGAACATCAGAGAGCAAAGATAAACCAAAAAGAGAGGTGATAAACGGAGATTTGAATTCCTACAAGAAGATTAAAGAGAGAATGGGAGGAGCAATATTTGAAAAGAAACCAGGATAGAATTTCCCAAAACTGAAAGGATAAGTTCAGGAAGTTCTAAAACATTAAACATGAAAAATATTTTTAAAAAATCATGCTTATTAACATTGAAGTAAAATTATTGAAAATTGAGGTAAGAAAAATAAGAAATTGAGACAACCAAAGCATAAGGACAAAATAATGTCAATAAACAACAACAAGAGTAATAATTTTCCTCTCAAAACAACAGACAGAAGTCAGAAAAATATGAATTGATACATTGAACAAACTGAAAATAACTTATACCTAGACTTCTGTTCAGGAGAATGTCTTTCAAATATGAAGGAAGAATAAAGACATTTCCTAAGGGGCTTTGTTGTTAGCAATTAAAAAAAAAAAAACACCTCAAGAACAATAAAAGAACTTAAGCATTCTTCACAAACAAAAATTATCCTAGATGGTAAAAGAAGTACAGAAAGGAATAAAGATCATAAAAAAATTTAAATATTCGAGTAAATGTACATTAATATTGACTATAGACAATAATAGTGTCTATCATGTGGAGTTTAAGAAAAAAATAAAATGCATAATACAAGGCATGAGAGGTTAAATAGTAAACATGTACCGGACCATAGAATAGTCAATGAAGTGATAAAATGACTAATACATATATACAGCCTAAAAAGAGTTAAGGATACATCTTGTTTCTCTAATGAGAAAGAATATATAACTAGTTAAATGAATATATAACTAGTTAATGGAGGGAGAGGATAACTTAAAATAACATACTTTATTTACTCATAGGAAAAAGGAAATGAATGAAAAAAAAACATAAACAGATGTAGAGAGGAAGGAAAACAAATACCAAATACTAAGATGGAAAATGTAAATATAAGCCTGAGAAATTACATTAAATGTAAATAAACTAAAATTCCAATTAAATGATAAAAGCTTTAAAAGCTATATATCTCAAATATAAGAAAATGTGTACTGTTAACGGAAGGGGAAAGTTATACCATGAAAACACTAACCAAAAGAAAGCTGGTATATGTATGCTAACATCAGATATGTTAGACTTTAAGGCAAGATGCATTACTAATCTTAAAGACAAACATTTCTTTGTAATAAAAATGTCAACCTACCCATAAGTCTTTACAATTCCAAATCTATAGGCACTCAATTACAATTTTAATTATACAAAGAGAAATTGATAGAATTAAAGGTAGAATAAATTAATCAGGACTGAAGACATAGCTCAGTGGTAGTGTGCCTGGCTAGCATGAGTGAGGCACTGGGTTCAATCCTCAGTACTGCACAATGAAAGAAAGTAAAGAAAATTAATTCAACATATCCTCACTATTCTCTTCTCAAAATTTGACTATTAGTAAAAGTCACCTATGAATAAATTCATATCATGTATAATTTTTTAATATTTGTAGATTACCTCTAAGGTTAGTGGTATTCAATAGATTCTAACAGTAAAATTCTCTTCTTGTAGAAACCCAGGAAAGTATACTGAGATTGAAACACAGCTTCTTGAGTGTGAAGAATGTGAGACAGCCCTTTATGTCCTCTTGACCTCATCTGACATAGACCACTAACTACTCTGAATAAAGTATGCTATTTAAAATATGCAAAGAACATTAAAATAATCTTTAAAAACTAAAGAGAGTTTTGACAACAAGTACTAAAAGGCCCAATTTCTCATCCTGAGGCAATAATTATTCTGATGAAATTTTGTCATTTTTAACCTATCACATTTTATTGATAATATACATCTGTTTTCTCTCTCAGATCATAAGAACTTAAAGGGCCCACACCATCGTTGAGCTCATCTTTTCATTTCTGCAGTTTTAATACACAAGCATGTATGTTTTAACTAATAAAAAGTTTACATTAGTAATATAAAAATTTCTTATTTCCAGCTATAATTTAGGGTTTTATAAATTATAAATATATATTGCTATCCTTCCCTGTACTATCCAAATAGCACAGATTTTCTTTCATATTATTTGCAATTTTTATCTTTTATTTCTTCATAGGCAAACTGAACAGGATGTTAAACTCTAATACTAAATTCATAAGTTATTTTAATGAAACATTAATAAAATTTTAGTTGCAATCTATTTACTAATTTTCCTAAGGTAACATTTTACATACTTTTCTCAATAGATATTTACACACACATTTAATAATGATGAGGGAGAGATACAACTAATTTAATTAAATGCTTATTGTTTCTCATTCTGTTGTCTATTCTTAGCTTTGTGAATTAATAATTAAAACTCTAAATTTCTCATGGTAAAATTTAATATTTAGAAATGAACCTGATGTTTGAACAAACTTCAAAAGAAGAAATAAGACTTTTAAAAAAGAATCTTTTCATTGCTAACACTTTTTACAATGGAATACTTTTACATGGCTATTTATGTAATATTCTAGTCTAAAAAGCTTATTGTAATGTGAAATTAAGGCATGATAAACAAGGAGAATAGGATTTATGAAATGTCTTCACTCATTTTGCATTCACTCTGAGGCCAAGAAATAGTTTAGTTTTAAGACACCAAGTACCTATGACATGAATTCTAGCTAGTGGTATGCAAATAAATTAACAATTATCTAATAATACATTCTATGTATACATTTTCACCTAAGAATATTTTAATATTTTTGAATGAAAGTTAAGCATTTCTTTAAAAGCTATGAAGTGCAAATATTGAATTAAAATGTTTATTGAAGTTTTTGCTAGAACTCAGTACAGAGTAGGAAGCTCTCAGGGGGTTGAAGGAATGAGAGGAAGCCCACTTTCCAACACAGAGAGTACCACGGACATGCAGTGGATTTACATACTGGTTATCCCCTCCTTTATGCAACCCAAGTCACACAACTTACAGTCTGCTCAATAGATATTCAATATATAACCTTGCTCAATATACTAATCTATGAGTTATTTTTTGTCTGTTCTGCTTTAGTTTTGTTCTGCTTTTTGTAACTTTTTATTGCACTAGATTTTTTCCCCTTAGTTAAAAAAAGGGGGTGTTTTAACAGTTTTGGCATTGAAATTAGACCTCTAGGAGTTGAATGTTGACTCCACCATTCTCAAGCAACATGGTATTGAACTTTAATTTTTCTAGCCTTCAATATACTCATAAATTATGGAGTTAAAAATTTCTATCTCATAAAGCTACTATGAGGATTAAATGAGCTGACACATGTAACATACCCTAGAAAAGTGCCTGGTCATAACAGCAAACAGAAGTTCTCGCTACACCTAGTGTTCAGAATGCATGAGATACAATATATGTAAACTCACATAGTCCAACATGGAGGCTTACTAGCCACATCTGATTCAAAATTAAAGTTAATTAAAATTAAATTAAATTACTCAGGAGGCTGAAACAAGAGGAG